AAAAATCGGTGCCTGGCCTCAAAGACGGGAGCCAAGCACACAAAAGTTTCTGCATCATTTGGACGGTTTTCAGATGCCTACGAGCGAAGAACCAGTTGCACCTCTGGTGGTGCAAGTGGAAACCCGCCTTTCCCCCTTCCTTGTCAAACCGCGCTGAAGAGAGGGAGAGGAGGGGGAGAAGGAGGTGCGGAGGCGGGAGAGGCAGCCCAGCCTCTTGGTGCCTCTTGCAGCCTGGGGCTGTACCTCTCCCGTCCGGCGCCGCTGGTGAACTTTGCGGCATACTGGTAGGGGGGGATGTAACAGCGGGAGTGGGTTGGAGAAAGGTTATTTATAGGAAAATCCAGAGAGCCATATGGAGCCTGCACCCCCTGGTCCCAGCGGCATGTTAATTTGGTCAAAGCTTTTCCCTGGCTACCGCTTGCAAATAAATTAGACATCCTGCCGACGATGATCTTATCAAATTAATGTAATTAGACCACAGACAAGTTATAACAGTTACCGTGGCCATTTCGGGTCCCCAGGATGAAGATTTGGCCTTTTGGTTTGTTATGGTGGGCAGAGACTAGGGATGGAAGGGTAAATGGGAAAGGAAATAGGACAGGAGTAGGAAACAAAACAGACAAAAAGAGAGAAATCCTGGCCCTGAAAATGCCTGCCCAATAAATTATAAACGGGCCAGAGGAGATAAAATGCCACTGAGACAGAAAGCACACAAATATATCGGTGGTTTCATTAGGAAAAAAAAAAAAAAAAGAGGGAAGGAAACTTGGCGCCACATTGAGGCACATTAATTCATTTCTCCTGATGGTTTCTTTGACTTTGTTTCTTGGTGATGTCAGGGTGGAAAGGTGGGGATGCAAAGCTGTCTGGAACCCTTCCGTGGATCAAAAATTGCAGCCTCAAAGTGCAAGAGGAACCAGGGCCAAGGAAGCCCCAGGAAACTCCTGGGAGGGTGGCAGGACAGTCGGGAGAAGGGAGGAGGGGCAGGGCTGGGGTCAAGGACACACCCACCTGGTGTCAGCAGCAGCGACAAGGTCACTGTGAATAAACTGTTTCGGGAGGAAAGGCTGAAAACCTGGAGCCTGGTGAAGGCTCCCTGGGGACGTGGAACATGAGGACTAAAGAGTTTGTTCTCCTTTTACCTTACAATAAAGCTTCCAAGCATCTTTACCTTCATGTTATTAAAATTGTTCAGGCACCGTAAAAACAATCAAAATGCAACCAGAGGACCTGAACATTAACAAGATATTAAATAAATAAGTATGAATTGAATAAGAGGAAGGAGACAGTGACCTGTTGTCAAAGCGTGAAGGACAAATTGCCTGCTTCTTACAAGTGATCTTCTGAGAGGTAGGAATTGGTGGAAGCCCTTTGGGAACTTGGAATTTCAAAGCAGAAAAAACCTAAAAGGGTAAAAAATCTGCCAGAAGAAGTAAAAGTGCTTACAGATGCTACGTAACTTCTGAAGGAGTATTTATCTGGGAAAACCGTTTTGTTTTCAACTGTATACTTTGGAACTATATAGAAAGATATATACAATATATGTATGGAGAGAGCATCTGCCATGCAAAAGTTAGCATTTAGAAGACAAGTCAGAGAGGTGGAAAAGGGGTACCATCCATTTCAGATTTGTTGTCTGGAGTTTTGATTCTATGAGTCAAGCTACACAGAAAGGTCCAGGAACTAGTTTTCCTCATCTCCTTGAATTAACTTTGGAAACATGTGTCTTAGGGTAAGAGGCCTGCCTCTAAGTGCTTTAAGGAAATACCTACTCCTGGATCATGTTGATTGGCAGATGAAATGTTTTGCTGTTACTTAGAGAGCGTGGTAAAGTGAGACATCATACAGCATTGAAGTGCCAATTAATCTGGGTGCTTAAAATTCAGCATATGCATACCAGTTTACAGTCCATACACAGGTTGAATAAACAGAACTCACATAATTCCCTCTAAATAAGAATTTCTAAATTATCCAGAAGATAAGACTGGGGAAAGAGCTCACAACTATATTGTCCTTGACTCCTTTACTTATCTGGTGTCTTTTACCTTGTGTTTGTGTCTCCAAATTCTAGAAGCCTAAGACAATGAGCTTCCTACTTATACTTTTCCTCTGTGTGTAAAGTCCTATATTTAACCACATATAAGCCAAATGAAGCCATTTTGAATAGAAATATTTTTAATCATAATATGGAAAATTCCTTGAAATAAGAAAAGGTAGTGGGATACTTCTGCATTTTCCCAATTAGTAATCTCCCATCTTCCCATTGCTATGACTATGTAAGTAACATTGGTATTTGTGCTACATTGGAACATATCAAAAAGCTAGTTACTTCATCGAACACTGTAGAACTTGCAGAGCAGAACTCAGACCATCTGTAAAGTTTCTAGAGAAGAAAAAAATTACTACTGTATATATCCTGATTTCAATGTTTGTGTGATGTACTGTAAAATTGGCTTCATTACTTCTGTAGAGGTATAACACAAAAAAGACATTGTACACTGTGGACATGATGTTGTGTGTGGATTCACACACACATACATATATACATGTGTATATAAACATCTGTGTGTCTGCACTACAAATTATGATAGACTCAGCAAATAGAAGAGTTATGGGACCATTATTTAATTTGAAATTATGGCTTTGTTCAAGCTTTGACTATGGAATTCAACACAGAATGTCAGTTAACGTAGATGTCTCTATATGCTAATGCAACTCCCACCAAAACTATGTTTCCCAGTGTATACAATGATTTTAAATCAGTTCAGATTATCCAGTTTTAACTAGGGGTAGAAGGGGTTAACCTAATATCAGGATCTCCTCACAGGATTTTCTATCTCAGTATATTTTATGGGCCAGTCTTCACTAAGCTACTGGGCTTCTGGCTAAACAGCAACTAGACCTAACAAGGTTTCCAAAACTAGAAAATTTTCTTCTTCATTTTTCATTTTGCTAAGGGTAATGGCATGTGAGCATGTTCCAAGTCTCCCTGTGATATATTCACCAGACGGAGCTTTGCAAAATGATGCAGTGGCGGATGATGATGACTAAATAAAAAAAAAAAAAAGAAAAAAAGAAAAGAAAGTTAGAGAGGTGGTTTGCCTACTTCTATCTAGTGAGTAGGAGACTAGCTCAGGATGAGAAAATAAAAAATTCTCTATCTTTTACAGTGTAAGAGCCAGCCCACATGTTCCTCTTTCTTGGCTCATACCCTCAACCAACGGGCTACCAACCCTCGTGCTGCAGCTGTTCTACTTTGCAAGAAAAATAGTTTTTACATCCCTTGAACTAGAGAAACACACTAGGGGAGCATGAGTTACACCACTGTTCGGGGCATGCAGAGCTCTGGAAGGACTTGCTTGCATTGTATGAGACTGAGCTTGACCGAACAGACT